TTCAGCTAATGAGTCTACTTGTTGTTCTAAATAGGAAGCAGTAGCATGTAATCTTCTAATATCTTTATCAACCTGTTCACTCAAGATTTTTAAGTTGCGGTCACTTGTGACCCAGGCTGCTGTCCCAATGGCGTCAGACCCAGCTATCCCTATCCCCGTGAGGAGAGGAACTAGAATGGCGGTGGCTGCCGCCCTACAAGATCGGGAGATACCCATATCCCCCACATAGTAATATACCTGGGGCATGATACGTACCAGGACAGAAAATTCTTGCCTTCCTATGAAATACCTGGGGTGCAGGCAAGGAGTTAAGCCAGAGGAACAAGCAAACCAAACAGATTGGGGGGCAGAAAGTACTTGAGTATCTCTTATAGGCCAAGTGTCCTCAGGTAGGATATACCTGAGGACTGATTACAAACTTCAAGGTAAGGGGAGGTGGCCAATGGATACCCTTTTGACATGAAGCAAGTCCCTTTGCCCTGTAGGTCTCCTAAGGTAAAAGTAGTTTCCCAGGGGCAAGCAGCAGTATCATTCATGGGGGCTATTTTTCCTTTTTTTTTTTTTTGTTACAGTAAGGGAAAATCCTATATAATAGGGTGGTCGGGTATCCAGACAAAGTCAACAATCCCTGGTCATCTCAGGGCGTGTGCTATTTAAATATTGAAAAGTGGGCTTTATGGTATTTATAAGAGGCTCTCCCTCTAGAAGGTGGAGCGAAGTCTTTATCCTTTAAAGGTATCGGCCTTGTACTTGGATTTATGTTTGACCCAGAGGCCCCCAAGGAAGGTGGGGGAAAATCTGGCTTGAGCTCCACCAATGGCCCTATGGGTTTAGGCAGTATGGTTCTTGGGAATCTTTGAATTGTGAAGAGGGTTCCGGGGTCCATACCAATCACATAGTTCTTAGTCCCCATGTGTGACCCATATCCCATTTTTGGTCTGCAGCAAAAATATCCCATTTCTTTAGGGTTATAGTAAGTGTGTTGCAGGTCCTGGGAACCAAGCAGGACTTATTTTTCTCTAATTTGATATCAAGGTATGGATCTTTTTGTTTAAGGAGCATTGGGGCCCAGGTTTCACATCCCCAGTGGACACAGAAATAACTTCCCTCATCATCACAATAGTTCCAGTGTTTGCTGGGCATGCGTAGAAGGCTGTTCCCAAGGTCTTTTCTGCATCTATGGTGCCGGCTCTGCATCCAGTAGCAAGAAGGGATGTTTGTCCAGAAGCTCCTGACATTGCTATTGCTGCGGATCCCCCATAGATACTGTGAGCTACCAATTGTTTTAAAGAGCCCAGTGTTGGCCATAAGGAACATAGATCAGTTCTAAATTGAGGAGCAATCTGAGGGTTCAAAGTTGTAACTTCTATGACAGTTTTTCCTATTTGTATGTCAGATAATCTCCAGACATAAGTCAGGTTGGTAAATTCCCTGGGGATCAGTCCCAAGGGGTAGAATTAAAAAGAGCAGAATTGTAACTATAGTGGGGTTTTGGTAAATGGACAGTCTTTTACCAGTCAGAGTTTTAGGGGGTCTTCTGGGTGAGGTTGGACCTTCCTTTTTTTGATCCACCTGAGCAGGCTTGGCGTGGGAGTGGTGAATCCAGATGCGTAGTCCATCCACCTTTATTGCCATGGGAGTCGTCAGGATCACAGTGAATGGTCCTTTCCATCGAGGGGCCAGTGTCTCTTTTTGATGTAGTTTTATCCAGGCAAGGTTTCCAAGTCTATAAGGATGTGGAGTAGCTGGAGGCAGTTCATGCACATGCCGGATCAATGGGTGGAGACGCTCCTGTACAACCTGCAATGCACTAACAGACTGAAGGATTTCATGATTAGATACTTCAGCCAATAATTCTGTTCTTAATCTCGGGACCAGGGGAGGAGGTCTCCCAAAAAGAATTTCAGAAGGAGTAACTCCTTGGATATAGGGGATTTCTAACCCTCAGGAGGGCAAAAGGGAGAAGAGTCACCCAATCTGTGCCAGATTCTAGGGTTAATTTAGTCAAGGTCTCCTTCATAGTCCGATTCATCCTTTCTACTTGTCCTGAACTCTGGGGATGGTATGCACAATGTAGTTTCCAATTTGTCCCCAGGGCCTTTGTTAAAGCCTATATTACCTGAGAGATGAATGGTGGTCCATTGTCAGATCCTAACATTAAGGACACACCAAACCTGGGAATGAGTTCATCCAATAACTTCTTGATGACTGTAGTTGCTGTCTCCTTCTTGGTGGGAAAGGCTTCTACCCATCCTGAAAAAGTGTCTACAAAAACTAGTAAATATTTATATCCAAACCAGCCCGGCTTTACCTCAGTGAAGTCTACTTCCCAGTGGACTCCGGGGGCAGTTCCTCTTTCACGTTTTCCTGAGGATTTATCAATTTTGGGGTAGGCATTAGTCATCTGGCATGCCATGCATCTGGAGGTGATGTCCTGTATAGTAGGTGTGGAGGAAGGAAACTGAAATCATCTGGTTAATAACAGCCTGATCTTTTCTTTTCCCATGTGGGTTCCTTTGTGGAGCTGGCAAACTAGCATCTCCCCCAGGCGACGGGGGAGGATGACCTTGCCATCTGAAGTGTGTCTCCATCCTGAGGAGACATACCCTTTTGGAATTGTCTGGAAATATTTGTAATCCTCTTCTATGTATGAAGGCTTTTCAGGTAATGTAGGATTTGGCAGGGCTAGAAGGGCAGGCCCAGAAGGGGACTCTGCTATTTCCCTAGCAACTTGATCTGCCTTGTGATTCTCTTGGGCCTTAGGAGTGTTATTCTTTTGGTGTCCTGGGCAGTGAATAACTGCCACTCGTTTGGGCATCCATATAACTCTTAACAAGTCAATGATCTCTTGTTTATTTTTGATAGTCTTCCCCTCTGATGTCAGGAGGCCTCTTTCTCTATAGATGGCTCCATGCACATGAACAGTGGCAAAAGCATACCTACTGTCAGTGTAAATGTTGACGGTCTTACCCTCTCCCAGTCTTAGTGCCTGAATCAAGGCTATCAATTCAGCCTTTTGAGCAGAGGTTCCTTTTGGTACAGTTTCCACCCATAGAACATTCTTCTGAGTGACTACTGCTTCCCCTGCATACCAGACTCCATCTTTTATGTAACTACTCCCGTCTGTGTACATCTCCAAGTCAGGGTTCTTCCATGGTATGTCGGTGAGATCAGGTCAGCTTCCCTGGACATGCTGCAGCAATTCAAAACAATCGTGATGCACAGTTGTCTCAGATTCAGTCTCAGGGAGCAGGGATGCAGGGTTTAAGGCACTGGTCACTACATATGTCAGGGGGGCATGTCTAGTAGGAGAGACTGATAATGAGTTAGTCTTGCATTTGTGAGCCAGCGATCAGGTGGTGCCCTCAGTATCCCTTCAATAGAGTGGGAGGTAGTCACAATCAGTTGTCCCAAGGTGAGCTTATCAGCATCCTTAACCAGGACTGCGGTGGCCACTATAATCTTCAGACAGGCTGGCCATTTGGCCACCACTGAGTCTAATTTCTTTGAGAGGTAGGCCACCAGTCTCTTCCAGGGGCCCAAAGTCTAAGCAAGCACTCCCTTTGCTACACCTAGCCATTCATCTACATAAAGGTAGAAGGGCCTCGAGATGTCTGGCAGGGCTAGGGCTGGTGTAGAAGTGAGCGCCAGTTTTAGGTTATCAAAAACCTTGTTACTTCGTATAGAGGCCTGGCCAGTTCTGCAAAACCAGGTATCCATAGGCAACAATATCTGGCTGACTTAGGAACTCTCTGACTTCAGGGAATGGGATGTCCAGAACAGCCTTCTTTCTTGCAGAGGAGAGCCTGCACATACCCCCTTCCAATAAAAACCCCAGATACTGTACCTCCTCCTGGCAGATTTGTGCCTTTTTAGCTGACACCTTGTACCCCAGGCATTGAAGTTCCTTCAATAAGTCTTTTGTAGCCTCTAGGCAGGAGGGGTGATCAGAGGAGGCAAAGAGAAAATCATTTACATATTGCAGAATAGAAATCTGGGGGTGGGCAGTTCAAAACCCTCAGAGGTCCTCATGCAGGACCTCATCAAAGATGGTGGGAGAGTTCTTGAATCCTTGCAGAAGTCTGGTCCAGGTCAGTTGGCCACTGAACATTTCTTCAGGATCTTGCCTTTCAAAGGCAAAGATGGGTTGGCTCCCTTTGTCCAAAGGGATACTGAAAAAGGCATCTTTCAAATCCAGGACTGTAAAAATTATACTGTCATGGGATAGGGAGCTTAGGAGGGTATAAGGATTAGGCACAGTGGGGTGTATGTCCATGACTTTCTTATTTACCTCTCTCAGATCTTATACAGGTCTATAGTCATTAGTTCCCAGTTTCTTCACGGGGAGCAGGGGGGTATTCCAAGGGGACTGATGGGATCAAAATACCAGATTCCCAGAGTCTTTTAAGGTGGATCCACATAGAGACACGTGCTTCAAAAGATATTGGGTATTGCTGTACCCAGACTGGGCTGGCAAAGGCCTCCAGAAAGATCAACATGGGTGGTCGGTAGCTGTGAATCCTGGGGGGATTACCCTCAGCCCAGACCTGAGGGATCTCCTGTATCAATTTAGCAGTTAGGGATGGTAATTTGTCCTGAGGGGCCCTTCATGAAGGCGCTATTCATCTTCAGCTTGCAGGGTGAGAACGAATCTGGTAGTCTTTACATTGACCTTATCTTTGTCAAAATGGATTGAGGACCCAAGTTTACTTAGCAAGAGGGTAGAGAGAGTCAGGAATAATCATGAAAGAATGCTGAATCTGCCCTGTGCCTAAATTAACAGTTCTCTGAGTGGTCCAAGGATAAGAGCGGCTACGTGCAACTCCTTGAATGTAAGTGTGCCGTCGTGCAGCCAGGGGGCCAAGGGGCTTCTTTAGAACTGAGAAGGTAGTGCCAGTATCAACCAAAAAGTCAATAGGCCTCCCTCCCACTTTTAGGGTTAACCTGGGCTTGGGGAGGGAAGATGAGCCCTGACCCCCTCAGTCATTTAATTCAAGTACCTTTTGAATTCCTTTATGATGTTGAGGGCAATCTCGAATCCAGTGTCCCATCTCCTTGCAGTAGGTGCATTGGTCTCTCTTGAGAGGGCTGTTTTTAGGAGGTGGTCCAGTCTGCCAGTTCTGTTTTCCCAGATGAAATTTTCTTGGAGGGCATTCTCCTTCTCTTAGTGCCAGGGCTCGGGCCAGTTTTTGGGTGTGACGTTCCTCACATTCTTCCTGGGTCTCATGGTTGTTAAAAACTTTTGGGGCTATTTCAAGTAATTTAAAGAGATTCTTATCTTCAAAACTACCCGGCTTCTGCAATTCTTTATGGACATCAGGTGCTGATTGAGTCACAAAGGCTATATTTATGGCTCGTTGGTTCTCTGGTGCCTCAGGGTCAATAAGAGTGTAGGTTCTATAGGCCTCCATAAGCCTTTCCAGAAACTGTGCTGGAGCTTCCATCTGTCCCTGTAAAACCTGACTGACTTTTGACAAATTTGTAGGCTTTTTGGCAGCAGCCTGAAGACCCCCCATAAGAATCTGGTGATAGAGTTTGAATGTCTCCCTACCTTCAGGGGTGTTGGTGTCCCATCTGGGGTGGTGTCAAGGAAAGATGTCCTCAATCTCCCTCAGATCCTCAGTGTATCAGCCGTTTTCAGACAGCACCCATTTCCAGGCTTCTGAGAGGATCCAGGTATGTTACTCAGTGGTGAAGAGAGTGAGGAGGAGTTGCTGGATATCGTCCCATGTGGGTTGGTGAGTAAGGAAAATTGTCTCCAACAACCCAATTAAGGCCTGCAGTTTTTCAGGAAAAAGGAAGATTAATTTCCAATTGTAAAGATCACTAGTTGAAAAGGGAGTATAAACAAGAAAATTATGGCCAGAGGGGTCTGGTGGGGCCAAAGCCCCGAGGAGAAGGACAACAGGAGTCTCTTCAGTCCTATAGGACTGACCTGAATGAGTATGGGGAGTGGAGGGATGGTTGGGGAAGGAGTAGAGGCTGGAGAAGATGAAGAGGCTGAAGACAGTGCTGGAGAGACTAGAGAAGATGGAGAGGCTAGAGAAGATGCTGGAGAGGGAGGGGAAGCAGCTGGGGAATGTGAGTAAGGAGGAGGATCCAAGAGAGAATCCTCAGTTGAAGGGGGGAGGACAGGAGGCAAGTGAGGCTGGGGAAGAGTCTGATGAGGACCCAGAGACAAGAGGGAGGGTTTTGATGAAGTAGATGGCAAACAGGACTTTAACCATTTTGGCAGTTTGTCCAAGAGGTAGAGATAAGCCATAATGTATGGGACCTGGTCAGGGTGTCCTGGATTCCCAAAAATTATGGCCTGGATGGGAGAAAGCTTGTTAATATCAAAAGATCCACTAGAGGGACATCCAACATCAAAGGATGGCCATTCCAGAGAACAGAGGGTTTGGAATTTTCCCGGATAAACGGTATCTCCAGAGAGCATGGCTGCCTTCTGGAAATGCTTACAATGAGAGAGAATTTGGTCGGTGGGGCCTTGTCAGATGAAGGAGTCTGACCCATAATAGAAAAGAAAGAGTTAATCCAAAACAAAGACCAATGAGAACCAGACAAACAGGAAAAAAAGACTTGAAACCAGGACAACACAGAACAAAAGCACCACACATTGGGGAATCGCTGTGCATTCGATGGTCAACACCAAATGCCCGGAGGCCACAGACAGTCAACCAATCAGATGGAGGGTCGGGGCATCCCCTGTCCTCCAGCTCAGAGAGCAATACTGCATCCAGTTTCTCTCCTTTGAGCCCCCAGAAGTCCAGACAGTCAGAACAGAACCCAAAACAGACTCCGGAGGAGGAATCAGAACCGAAGTCTCCAGGTACCAGACAGAGGACAGAAAAAGACAGGAAAACAAAATGAGGGTTTTCAGGGAATCCCGGACAAGCCCCCCAAAATGTTTGGGTTCTGAAAATTCCCTGAATTGACCACTCAGACACTGAGTCTCAGTAGAAAGAAGTGCTTTATTGAGGCCAACTGGCTGGGGACACAGACAGTCTCGGGAGCTGTACTGCAACCCCAAGCAGTAAAAACCACAAAAACCACAAAGCAGGGGATTTATATAGAAACCATACACAGAATAACCAGGAAAAGATTTGAACAATATAGGGCTGATTTCCAGAGCTTTAACCTATACAGCCATTGGCTAGCTTACCTTGGGCAGAACGGTCTTTCTCTTCTGCCCCAGACCATTCCCATAGAAACCATGAACAGATGTACCAGGAAAGGGTTTTGAACAATGGAGGGGATTTCCAGAGTCAGGTGGAGGGCAGCTTTTTCTCAGAGGATAGGGGGTCACCCTCCTTCAGTTGCATTTCAGGAGTTCTAAGGACGAGATGTAGAGGACAGCTGGCTGAGGGTCAAACTGGTGAGTATCACACTGATATTGTACAAAAAAATATTAACTCAGCACCTAACACTTTTTAACTGAGAAGGATCATGTTCAGATACTGCACTCAACAGCCCCTCCATGCATTGTCATTACTAGTAAGGTCCAGAGTTATAGGTAAAAAAACACAAAACAACTTTACTGGATAGCTTTAGGGTCAACTTGACATACCTGGGTTGAGGAAGTCTCAATTGGGGAATTGCCTCTGTTGTACTGGCCTGTTGCCATATCTGTGGAACATCTTTTTGGTTATTTAGTGATGTGGGAGGGCCCAGCCCACTGTGGGTAGTGCCACCCCTGTGCAGGTGGGCCTATGTTCTATAAGAAAGCAGGTTGAGCATGGGCCAGGGAGCAAGCTAGTAGACAGTGTTCCTCCATGGCCTGTGCTTCAGCTCCTGCCCCCAGGGTTCCTGCCCTGAATTCCTACCTTGGGCTCCCTGATGAACTGTGACACAGGAGATGTAAGACAAACCCTTTCCTCCCCAAGTTGGTAGTGGTCAGGGTGTTTTGTTGTAGCAATGGAGAAACAAAGTAGAACCAACCAAAAAAATCAACTGGTGTGCTTTTAGAAAATAAAAAATTCCATATTATTTTGAACCTGTATTAAGGAAGATAAGCCTTTTATATATAATATTAATAATGTCAAGAAGAAAACCCTGCAGAAAGGGCAGGTGCTCATAGATCCCCATGCACAGCACATGCTTCACAGGTGTGAGGTGAGTGAATAGATCACTGGACTTCCCTCACAAAGGGAGGGAAGAGGGGAAACAAGGTCATGCCCAGCACTTCAGTAAGGGCAGGGGAAGGAAGGCTAGCCTGGGGAGAGGATATGAAAAGGTTTGGCGAGAGTGCAAACAGATCGTGATACCGTAGGTTTGTTACTACAGTTTCCTATGCATCAGTGTCTCCTGGGAACAAAGACAAGCTTTCATGCATGTCCAACGGGAGCCAAAAGCTGTGAGGAAAAAAGAAAAAAGCAACTGTATGTCAGTAACAGAGATATCAAATAGCAAGCACTTAGTGACACTGTTGGGCAACATCTGAGTCTGGGATCCAGGAAAACCACAGATCCAGGAATCTGCTCTGCAATTTTGTGTCCCATAAAATGGCTCACTACAACTGAGTGCCCTGTCCTATAGGTTCCAGGTCAGACTCATAGATGCCCCCTGTTACCCTTAGACAAGACTCTCCAAATCCGCTTCATTTCATGGATGGGTCACTGAGTTGTGTGTACCTGAGTTCTATGGATAGTGCCTGTCAAGGTGACTAGACCACATTTGTCAGGACCTCCTTCTCCCGAGCTTTGGGCCACCTTTGAGCACTGGAAATAGGAGCACCCCCACCCCTCAATGACCTCTTCATGAGTTGGCTGCTGTCAGAGAAATGCATTCCTGTTCACTTGTACACACATCCTGTGCCCCAACTCTGGCTCTTCCCAGCCTGTCTTCCCTCCCTGCTAAAATAACAACTGCAAAAAAGATTGTCCGCTGGTAAAAGTGTTTAGTCTGTTGCTCAAAACATTGAAAGAAGAGCCAAAATTCATCAAGTGCTCATTTTGTGTCATGGGGATAAGGGCACAGCTCCACTCCATCCCTAGCAGCAACCAGAACTCTGTTTCTCTTAAGGGCCTCCATTCAGGCAAAACCAGTATCTGCGTTCAATGAAGAAATGAATTTTAGGGTGAGACAATATGAAGCACAGTCGGATTTATTAAAAATAGAAATGTGCAAGAGTGGGTGCCTCAAGGGAGAGTCACGATTAGGCTTCTTTATAATAGGTATGGGTGGGATGCTGGTGGCTCTCAAATTACATCTCTAAAAGCTGCTAAGGGACCCGTCTGCCATTTTTAACTTTGCTCAGAGAATGTTGCTTACAACAAATTAAAAATTAAAGAATTTTCTTCTATAAACAAAGTTGTGAGGTGGATTAGATGCGGGGGGCATTGCTTAGGTCGAAGAGAGAGCAGGGGGGGGCTAGAAACCTGAGATTATTCATCATCTTGACCCTAAGTCATCAGAATTGATTTACTTGATAGGATGCTTTGGGGAAGCATAAAAACTGCCCTCCCTGGGCAGTTTCGGCCTTACCAGTGGTGTGTGGTTTTCTGACTCCGTCAGTGGGACAGGTGAGCCAGACCCCAAGATGATGGGCATCGATCCTCAGTCAAGCTTTCTTCTTGATTCACCATCTCTCTTTTTTTGTCTCCTGCCTCAGTCTGAGCCACATGCCCTGGCAGGCACACCTAGCAGAACACCGCTCTTCGCCTGCCATCCAAGGCGAGGATAAACTGCAGCACTCAGTGTGTCCCCTTAATTCATGTCTTGGGCTGACAACTATGAAATGAGTGCATTCTTCTTTGGAAATCATTTGGCCCCAATCTCAGGAAGTGTTGGGCATCCCTCGGTGGAAGCTCCAATTGTTACTTTGGGGGCAACTCTAATCACAATTCCAGCAGGGCAAAACAATGTGAAGAATTTTGAGACCTGAGTAGCAAGTATAGGCTGGAATAATTTTGAAGTATAGTAGAAAATCCTGTGCTGCGATGACAGGCTGCAAAGGGTGATGCCGCTGAGAGCATAGAAAAGGAGGGCTGTAGCCAACCCCACAGCACAAGTGGCTAACAACGGAAGTGCAGTAGAGAGATGGATGCTAAGAGTCATTCTGGTGAGCTCTGTTTTGGCTTGAGTGTGAAATGTCCCCCATAGGCTCATGTGCTTGAACACTGGGTGTCTAGCTGCTGGCACGGTTTGGGAAGGTAATGGAACCTTTAGGAAGTGGTACCTCACTGGAGGAAGTGTACCACAGTGAGTGTGCCCTAAAGCTTTATGACTGGCCTCACTTCCCGTTCACTCTCTCTGCTTTATGAATGGGAGTACAATATGACCAGCCAGCTACCCAGCCCTGCCTCCCTGCCTTCCTTGACATGATGGATTGTATCACCTAGGACTGTATGCCAGAATAAAGCTATCCTTAGATTGTTAGGTATTTTGTCACAACAACAAGAAAAGTAACTACGTGAAGGTCTCATTGGGAAAGGAGGCAGATTATTAGAAATGGAGGAAAGGTGATCTGTCTCATCTGACTAAAATGTGTTTGTGTCCTAGTGTTTTGTGGAAGGTA